TCTCACAGTACGACCAGCTCTGTCCTGTTTTGATCGCACCGCCCTAGACAGTGACCATGCACTTGACAGGTTTGTGAGGCTGCGCTAGATGCCCTCCCCGCAAAAACTAGTCTACACCGTATCAAACGGCGTGGCTCGCGAGGTGTGTGCAAGGATGCCGCGTGCCCAGAAGAAGCGGTCAAAAGCTGTAATGACGCTCGTGCTCGACTTTCGTCGCCCCTGCTCAATCCTCTCGCCCCCAACGTTGAGCCAAGCGCCATCTGTGCCGCCTAACCGAGACCACGACTGTGTCAACCTAGGATCCGTTGCATTCAGTTCTCAAAGACGTAAGGGCCTGTTGGCCAACTGTTCGCAGGCATCCAAGAGCACCTGCCCTGCTAGTTAGGGAGCCCCACCTTCCTGTCAAGAGACGACCTACAGGGCTTGAGTTGTGTATCAACAGACACCCGCCCATTGAGTAAGTTTTGCTCCCGTTGTTGTCACGTTCTCCGCTGACCCCGTCGGCGTTGGTGTCATCTCCGCTCTCCCTGCCTCTAATGTTTCCGTCAACAAAGGTGGGCCAGTCTGTACAAGCGCTCCTGGCTATGCGCCAAGGGTTTAACGCAGGCGATTGATCAGGACCTAGGGCTGCGGTGTCATCGGCAGCATGTAGGACCCTAAACCTCCAACTTGCATGGCAAATGGAAGCGCCCAAAAAAAATGCGTTTGCCAAGTCATACGGGAAGAGTAGCTGGCCTGTCTTGCTCTCGATAAATGATTTTTGGCAGAGCACAGCGCAAAGGATTGTAACATTTAGACGGTAACATGTGAGACACCGGCCGGAGATTCGCTTGGCCTTGTTGTTGTGGTTGTGATTAGTTTAGTGTAGATTTGGTACACAAACACGGAGAGGGATGAAAAACGGGACGGCGTCAGATCCACCGTACGTCCATCGCTTTATTTTTGCTGGGAAAGGGGCCTTGGAACCACGAGTCCACCTCGGATTTTCCAAAGACTTGAATGTGTAGTCGATCGATCATTCGGTTCTAGGTTGAATAAGTCGGTCAGAAGATAGTTCAGTATGTAGTTATGTTGGAGCGGGGTCGTTAGTACATGATCGACGGAGTCTTTGTAGGGGGTGCTTGTTTTGCGCAAGTGTTGTTCGCGAAAAGAACGATCCTCGTGCGGCAGTGCGCATCATTTATTTATCTCTGTTTGCCTGCCAACGACCTTGGATAGCATAGAGTGTAACGAGCAGTGCCTAACCACCAGCCGCGATTCGTGTACATGGCGGGTTTCCTCGCGGATGACCCGGTTCGGGATACACGGCCGCAGTCCGCTGTCCTATTGCCATGCCGTCCATCCCCTGCGAAGAAGTATCGGGCACGACAAACAACGTGTCGCGGCCGAAATACTACCGGGGGATAGTGTCAGGTGCAACCAATAACGTTGGCTCGCACCTGACTCTATTGCTGTACGTTGTAGGGCCATTCCACATAGTCGTCGTGAGGGGAGGGGGGAGGGGAGGAGACGAAGGGAGGGGAGGGGAAGAGGGTTCTTGTGTAGCCCTTTCGGTGAAATATTCAGTATCTGGGGCGCGCAAGATGCGGAACCTGAAGAGGAAAGAAACGCAGAGACAATTGTAGTGCTTCCACGCGTAGACTACTTCTTGTGGGTAACAAATGACGCTTGTACGCCATGTGTGTGTGTGTCCCAGCACCCTTTGTAGGGTGTGCAGAGTCTACCGCAACGTAAGTCCTTGCATGCTACAATTTTCGAAAATGTTTCTAGCGGAGTGTTGAAAGACTGAAAAGGCCAAATGGGTTTGTCTGGGCAATATTGACACGTGTAAATCTTCTGTCCTTTCATCTGGAGTAGTCGCAGAGGGACTGCTGCTGTGGGGCATATCGTAGTACATTAGGTGATTGTTTCGCGTATACATTACGACGACGTCGTACCAGGTTGCTCAAGAATCTTTGATCTGATTGGTCGCAAGAAGTCCATCCAGATACTTTCTCCTCCTAAATGGTTTTCGGGCACGTACGTACATGGTGCGCATTCAAACCGACTCTCCATACCCGACCGGTGGTATTGATTGTTCGGCCCGTTTGACCACATACCCCCCCCAGACTAAGAATGGGGAACACACACACGTACCGCGTTCAGAAAAAGATGTCGTTGCAAACACTCCACTACAGCTTTCTTTTCCATCGGGCAGTCTCATCCTCCTCTTTGGTCGTGCCGGCGATGCTATCACATCACACGCACCACCAAAGAACATCAATCAATAGTACCACGTGAGCGTCGACCACTTCTCGCAATAGCACAGACTACACATAGTCTATACACTCTGATCGAAACCGAAAAACGCACGAACCTACGCCGGACCGCCTAGCGGCCTTTGACCATAGTCACCGTATCAAGCGGGGACAGTACGAATTGGCCTCGAGCATGGCCACAATTCGGAATTGAAAGGAAAACCCAAGGTAATACGAAAATATTGAAACTCTTGTCTTGAATTACATATCCTTTGGGCAAGAAAACAGCATCCTCCGAGCTAAAAGAAAACAAGTGTAGGGCGGGGGGGGCGAACACCTACCCCACAGCAACGTCGTTGTGATGACTGTGACCGCACAAGAGGTAAACCTATTAAGGCTAAAGACCAAGACCATCAAACAAGTCCAACATAGAAACCAGACCAGTGCGGGATGGTGCTGGCGTTAGAAGCAGGACTAGTACGCCACGATGACAGCATCAGAGCAAAACAAACTGGAAAGGGGGAGGGGAGGCGGGGAGGGGGGGGGGCAGGGGACCGAACATGTATATAGCCCAATCCAAACCAGATCATCACAACGACCTTGTTGTGGGGTAGGTGTTCGCCCCCCCCGCCCTACACTTGTTTTCTTTTAGCTCGGAGGATGCTGTTTTCTTGCCCAAAGGATATGTAGTTCAAGACAAGAGTTTCAATATTTTCGTATTACCTTGGGTTTTCCTTTCAATTCCGAATTGTGGCCATGCTCGAGGCCAATTCGTACTGTCCCCGCTTGATACGGTGACTATGGTCAGAGGTCGCTAGGCGGTCCGGCGTAAGTTCGTGCGTTTTTCGGTTTCGATCAGAGTGTACAGACTATGTGTAGTCTGTGCTATTGCGAGAAGTGGTCGACGCTCACGTGTGTACTATTACTGTTGATTGATGTTCTTTGGTGGTGCGTGTAATGTGATAGCATCGCCGGCACGACCAAAGAGGAGGATGAGACTGCCCGATGGGAAAGAAAGCTGTAGTGGAGTGTTTGCAACGACGTCTTTTTCTGAGCGTGCTACTTGTGTGTGTTCACCATTCGTATCATCGGTCAATGAAATGACGAGCGGCCGTGAAGATACCACAAGCTTCAAACGCCCGTGATATGCGACCCCCGTGCGGGTCGTCATGGCCACTCTCTAGATCCAAGACGGAAACAGTCGGAAAAAAGGCAGCTGCGCATGTCTGCCAAGACTTCTATGGTCTACCCGTGTTGTCGCTTGAGACTTGGGTAATCGCATCCCAAATCCTGCTTTCGAGCAGCTCGCGTTCGTTGTGTTGAAGGACTGCTTATTTAATACTTTTGCTCTGTTCCATGCCAATTTTTTCTTCGTCGTGGTTGGTTCCTTTCCACGATTGATCCCACTCCCTTCCCCCCGATCCTTCTCTTCGTTACCACTACCGTTGTACCGTTGCCCCCCATGCCACCATCATCCTACTTTTGCCAGCATCATTTCTTCTTTTTCCTCGGCACTCTACGTCGAGCTCCCTTCCATTCATCACTGCCGTATTTTATCCCCACTTCTTCTCCGTCATCTGCGAATTGGATTAGACTGTATGTAGACCCCATCATCAACCCATGCCTTAGACTATCAACATGTCACGGGTTCGCACTGGCAGCAAACACGCTAAAGCTTTGTGGTTGTGGGTATGGTTCGTTGGCCCGATGTTGCAGCGTTTTTCCGCCACATCGACCGCCCCCAACCCAAGTTGGGTTGAACCCAACCAGTTGGGGTTGTTGTTTGTTGTTTGTTGTTGCCGCTGCTGCTGATGTCGTGTTTCCCCCCGATAAGTCGCTCTTTTGCGCCCGGCAAGCATACCTTGGTACACAAGACTACAATTTTCCACGGAAATTGGAAACCAGGGCGTTGGCCTGGTCGCGGGTTGCCCTGCGCGATGTCGGCCGTGGGGCAATGCTCTGTGCGAAGAGACTAATCGAGCAATGTTCCTTTGTGGTGCGTTCGGTTTGTCTGTCGACCTTCTCGCATGCAAGCGATGGAACAGTCTAGACTTTTCAATGAGGCCCGTTTGTTCCTTAATCTAAGCATGGTTCGTGTCCTCTTGCACATCTGCAGTATGACGCCAAGGATACCCACCCGTAGGCCACGTTGGCATTTGCTCGAACGATCCGAGGCCGTCACGTTGTTTTCTTGTTGTGCAGGTTCGACCGTAACAAAAAAGCTGTGTACAAGGCTATGTTTACTATACCTTGGCGAGTAGTAAAATAAACCCATCTCATGACGACAAGTATCACATGTATATATCGGTGGTACCGGTACCGAAGGAACCCTCTTCACCTCACTTTTGTGCGCCAATTTGTTCCCGACACCGTGACACCAACTGCGCGCGGTACCACGTCGGCCAACAACCATCGGCCCCCCGAACAGGCACCCCAGCATCGAGCAATGCGCCGAAAGGGTATAGTGTGGAAGGAAGGAGGTTAGCCACGGGCCATGCCCCAAAGGGTTTGCCGATTTCTCATTGCCGGAGTTCCTCAACTGCTGTGGGACGTCCCCATGAGAGTTGTTTGGCACCTTAACCGGTCGTAATCAACTCACTAATAGCGTTTCACAAGAAATGCAGTGCCTCGTGATGAGTTCACGCTTCAATGAGCGAGGGAGCTGAACGACGAACACAAGGTCAGCTAGTAGACACGTTATTGGTCGTCGTTATCCTCAAAGAACGTGGTACAAGAGGAAGATAAAACCCCATTTTGGGTCGTCCAATGTCCCGATCGTTCATTAGGGCCAGGACTTTAAGAAATATTTATATTGCACCCCCCATTGCCCTCGCAATAAAGTACAATTCTGTCTGAATTCCTGTTTTGCCTCAGATTGTCCACGCCTAGGCAAAAGTGGAACTTCGCAATCCGCTATTCTCAACAAAGAAAACAGGCTACGCAAATCCCGCAACAACAACAACACAACGCAAAATGCGCCTCTCCTCCCTCTCGCCCAATAAAGCCATACAGCCATGATACATATGCATCTATGTAATGCCAAGCACGGTGCCGCATCAGGACAGATAGATACAACAGACGGATCCAGCGTTTCACGCACACAAACTCAGAAGATGGCGGTTCTTTCCAGGTGGATGGATAGACATGGCTTCCGCTACGCACGACAACGAGTAAAAAGCCTAACCACAATTTGTAACCGTACAGCCAAAAGAAGACTTCGGCTGATCGGTGCGCTCGCCGCCGGAGGAATAAGAGAGTGCCTGCCCGATGGGCACAGATGTGAAAAACATGCAAGACAGCAACTGCACACACATGAACAAGAACCTCGCCTTCCGGCAAAAAAACGTACGTATGCAGCGCGTGTAAACGCTTTTACCGGCACCAACAGTCAAACGTATCTCTCGAGGTGAGGCCAGGCGGGGTCCCTCAAACCAAAGGGGAAATGGGCTTTCCCTAGGACACGCCGAGACCTGTTTGACTCCGCACGTTAGCGTTGGAAAGGCAACAACGAGTGGAATTCGAGCCCACCTCCCCCGCCTACCAACAGCATGCTGCGCGCCACGCACAAAGACACACGCAAAAAAACAGAGAAAAAGTAGAGCGTACTGCACTCCGCGATGTTCGGGACACGCGGGTCCCTTCTACTACTGTACACACAGACCAAACAACCACGCCTGCGAATGCGGCAAGATATTTCACCGAAAAGAAAATGAAACCGAACATCTGGGGTGCTAACCCCATGCCCAATTCACTCCACACGAGAGGCAACCAACCCCTACGCTCCACCCCTTCATAAAAAAAAACATGCACTCAGAAAACGGCTGTATGTAGTGCCCAATCGATCCGCCCCTTATTTTACTGGGCTGCAGACGCCAACGGACCCACAAACGCTCCCATCATCACCACCATCAGCAGCTTCACAGAACTTCGATCGAAGCCGCGAACGAAAATGTCCAAGGTCAGTCAACGCGAGCCTTCCTTTCTCCGTGCGCGAAGCTCGGAGCTTCCAATCGGTGCCGGACCTGCTCAACCCCATGACGGGACTTGAGCCTTCAGCAGACCTGACCTGGGCAGGCTGGCACACCTCACCAGCCGACAAAATTCCAGTACCACCAGCACCACAAGCACCACCGCCCCGTAAACATCCGGCATACCGTTCCTTTTCGGGTGCGAGGTCAACGGCCTAACGACTTCGGCATGCGATAACGTGAGTGCACCCTGGCTCCTCTCTGAGTCACCATTCCCCCACCGGCCTTCACCGAAACAAAAGTGCGGTATCAAGTTCGATCCCCACCCCACCACCCGCTGCACCTGCCCGTCTCCCGCGGTCATTGCGACCGCCCCTATCCATCCCCCCCCCGCCTTGCCAGCAAAGACCCCCTGCTATGCCAGGATCATGAGAAGAACCATGTCAATCGGCTCCTCACGTCCCATATCTCGCAGGCCCTCCCGCTATGCCAGGAACATAAGAATAACCATGCCCGTGGGCTTCTCATGTCTCCTACTCAGCAGGCCCTCCTGCAATGCCAGCGTGTACCTCCGGTAATGCTAGGAACCATCAGTTCATCGGCTCCGCGTGTCCACACCCCGACGTGAAAATTCACACGGTGCTGCTTCTGCTGCTAGATGATGCGCCCTTCGCCCCGGCGCTAGACGCGGCTTTGGCAGAGCTAGCGGCCTTCGCCGCTGCGGCCTCTGCCACCGCATCCCTTAGCCATGGGTGCCGCACCGCCTCATCTAGGGTCATGCGCTCCGAGGGCTCGACTCTCAGCAGCTGGGAGAACAATCGCGGCAAAAAAGTACGCATACAACATTGGCATTTGTTTGTTAATTGGGGATGAAATTGTGTTACTTTTTGTGGGAAGGCATGTATATTGAGGTGTTTCCGGCGACCAAAAATAGAATAAAAAAAGGAGGGGGGGGGGACCTATATGCCGTAGTCGTTAGACCACTTACGTCGCATCCCAATAATGTCGGGACGAAGCAATAAAGAAACAGTGGGGCGATGTCAGAGACACGAGTATCAAGGAGGCTAATACGTCTGGCCCTCAAGCCACTGAAAAAAAAAAAAAACGAACAACCACCCCAGGCAGTGGAGCATGTACAGAAATATCAACCGGCGTTTGACCGTAGTATGCTCACCCTGGAAACGAAGTCTTGCGCTTCAGCGGACACCGCCGGGTCCTTTGGGAAGGCGTAGGAGCCTCGTTCGATCCGTGACAGCGTGTCAGCACCGCCAGACTCGCTGTTGTACAAACGACAAAGAGAGCAAATAAAAAGTTGAGCATGATATACAAATCAAACTTTCGCCAAAGCATAACCGGGGGTTCACCGCCGTGGTTTACCATGGGTACAATCAAACGTCTTCCATGGTATTCTCCAACGTCTTGAGTACGTTGCCGACAACACCAGCCTCTTGGAGGTGGAGGAATCGCACTTCCGAGGGGGCTTCGAATGATCTCCTCGATGGCAACGTGGCAACGGCAGAAAACAGCCAACGGAGGCATGCCCGCACCGGAAAAGCTCGAGAGACAATTGCCTCAAATACCCCAAAAAAAAAACATATGGAAATCGACGGCGATGGCAACAGAACCACCCACGACAACGAACGACAACACCCACCTCCATCACGAGACTAGCCACCGACTGCTGCAACTTGTACCTGCGGAAAGGGGAGTGCCCCAAGAGAAACTCATACGTCACTACGCCTGCCGCCCACAGGTCGACAGAGGTCGTGTACGGCCGCTCCATCAGCATCTCGGGAGCAAGATAGTCCTGTTGTTCACGAAACCACCGTGGTCAGGCAGATAACTTGACAGCACGAGTCGTGAGACGGGGCGCCCAATTTCATTTCTGGCTGCTGGTAATGTTAACAACAGGAGAGGTAGTGGTCTTAGCTGGAGCTGGAGGATATGCTGTAGACATGCAGAATACTGGCCCAACACCGAGCGAAGTTTATCCCACAAGAAAAGTCGGCAAAACCAGAGCAAAACATCAGCTCTCGCGCTAAGCCTAACGGGAAGCTTCAGTCCATGCCCGCGACAGCAGCTCGTGCCTATTGGGCCAAACATACCTATGCATGCCAGTGCGTTTCAACCAAAACCTTTGGAGACAAAACTAGACAAACAATACGGAGTGGTACAACTCAGCAATAAACACGAACCTGGGTCCCGCAGATAGTTTGACGAGTGTCGTAGTCAGCAACCTCGATCGACCAGCCGAAATCGCAGAGCCGGAGGTTTCCTGGAAGCGGAAATAGACACAGGAAAAGTGGACAACGAACACTCACTAAAACTGTTCCACAGGCGGAACAGACATAGCCACGAAACTGAAGAGAAAACATCACATAAAGCTGCTCAAGAGGGGAGGACATCTCGCACCAAATCGCTAACTGGTTAAATGTTTACCCCGAAATAAACAATCGCAGAAGGCGAAAACCGAACGATACCAGGGAAAAAAAAACTTCCACCACAAACATGGGCGCAAAACGAGAGTCTGTGAGACACATGCTGTACTGATTCCCCAGCCTTTTATGTCAGCAGGCCCTCCCGCTGCATGATCCCGCGGACAGCACCCCTTCCCAAATCAAGAACGCCTCATCGAGTTTCAGATCATAGTACCCCGAGTAGTGTCCTTCTGATCTAATGTAGAATCTACAGTGTTGAGATGTACAGCATATCCACTATGCTAGTTGTACTATTGTTAAGGTACACAGAACCAAGTGTTTTCTGGCACCGCCTTGTCCAGGCAATACACCAAACACAGCACTGCCAAAGGGATGACTGGAACACTGAAATAAATCCGTCAGCTACTAGGCCTTATCCAGCCAACAACTGCTAGACCCCCTCGAGCACATCATAATTCTTAGTCAAAGAATGGAGAGATTCCCTGAAAGAAAAATCACAAGAAACGAGACCGAAACGCCGCCAGCGCACGTTACACGCGCAGAAAAAACAACTGCTGTCCCAGCTCACCAGCCTTGTCCAGCAACAGGTTCTCCGGCTTGATGTCCCTGTGGATAACATTCAGCCCGTGCAGGTATTGCAGCGCTCGGACCAGCTGGAATATGTACCGCGCCGACACCGACTCTGTGAACCGCCCCCCCGGCTGCGCCTTCATTGTGCGGTATAACTCTCCCTTCCTCGCGTACTCCATCACGATGAAGATCCTGGGGGGGAAGAAAATATTCATAACATTAGATTTCGGGAAAACGGTAATGATGCAAACGCGTAATGGGAATGTCTACACGACTTACATCTTAGATCAGGAGCAACGCGATTGATACAAACCGATAGCAGCATCAAACCAAAGAAACGGCTTCACGACGATGCTCACGAATCTCTCCCTTCTTCGGGTTGCCCTAGTCGAAAGAAATAAAACGTTGGGGAAAAAGAGAAGAGAACACGAACAAGGAAAACAGGCCCCACTGTCAAATCGAGGGCGTTGCCTGAATGATCGATCTGGAGGCAACTTGTATCCTCGCAACAACTAGAAAACGAAGTCTCGTCGCTCATGGCCGACGACTCACAAAGCAAGCCACTAACATCCAAGGGTACTGACAAACGTGGACCAAAATGAAGAAACTGCAAGGGTGGGAGAAAATACGGAAAAAAACATTTGCAGGACCCCGTTTACCTCTTCTCGTCGTAGAAGTAGCCGTAGCAGCGGACGATGTTCGGGCAGCCCGACCCGTAGTTCACGTGGATGTCGATCTCGGACTTGACCTGGTGGTACACTCCAGCCGCCTGGTTTCGTCCAAAGTTCCGGAGGCGCACGCCAAAAAAACTCCAAAATTATTACCCTCCCAAACTCGAACACGCCGTTTCCTCATGGCGGCCATCACAATTTGCGGAGCCCCCTGGCTTGTTACCCCCATGTACACCAACACATACCATCACTGTTCCGGCGAACAGAATATTGCCGGGCGTTTGTTCAGCAATCAGTGCGTGTTCGAACACGACACAGTGCGAGTTTCGGTTGGCCGACTCAACAATCACACGAGAGCATTCCCTCGGTGAGCTTAAGGTCCTCCTTCACGCACGACGAAAATCATGCGGCTGTGTGGCGTGAAAGGCAGGGAAGTCGAACACCGAACAGCATCCAGCACTCTTCCACCCGGGTCAAAGAAAAGATGCGATGCCTGCGCGCCCGTACCTTCAACCGTCTACATACTGCTATGGCTCTCTGAAGTCTTCCTTAGACATGACATCGACACTGGAGCATACATGCTTTCGTGAGCTCGTCTGATTAGCGGGGAGCCAGCCGTGACCTACTTGCTGAATACATGACGCGGGTCGAGACTCTCACCTCTAGGTCTTTCTTGAGCATGATCTTGAGCGCCAGGACCTTCATCGAAGCCTTTTCCCGCGCGAGGTACACATTTCCTGGGTTGCCGAGTATTGGGGAGAGAGCGAGCAGGAGACAAGACAGGGGCGCCGCGGCAACCCATTGATGGAAAGAGAGATGGTGAGTGACAGTGGGAG